GGCAAGGATATTAAATGAGTGAGGGTATATGTGAACGGAGACTTGTCTTTGAATGTAGTAGGAATGAGCGTCCTTTCATCTGGGTATGAATCTTCCTTCCTTATTCAAATATTCATCTGCAGTTGTGAGCATCATATTCCGGGATTAAGCAAGGATCACTTTCCGAGGCAGACTTGACGTGAGGCATAAGCAGCTCAAGCATGCCAAAGGATAAGCTAACTGGTTGAGTACGGGCGGGTACATTCCTTCCTTGTCTTACGCTTCCACGATCCTAAGGACGAATCTCAACATTTCTTTCGCCCACCCGCCTCTTTCCCTCTTTCGTAGTGTGTGGTAGAGTCTCCGTCCCAGCTTCCCTGAGTACTCTTCCATGCACTCAGAGCAGGTTTCACCGCTCGGAGCTTCTCGTCTTGTTGCGATGACGCGCAGAGTCGCCAACGCCTGTACGCGTCTTTCCTGTCGCTCTTTACTCAAGCTCCAGCAGCCGCGCAAGCGCGGCCGAGCGGTAAAGCCGCTCTTCACCTCACATGTGCCACACGCACACTGTATTCAACTGTGCTGGTTCCTCGTCATGCGTATTCGGAGACCGACACGGATCCCCTTAGCTTATCCATGATTCAATCTAGTATTGGCTAAGTGCAAACCAAATGATGTATCGTATCTGTATTTTATTGACCTATAGAGACCATATCATATCTCTAGCATATTGTATTCATATTCGAGCGGTTGAACATAAATATAAATTTGTTCTCCCAAATAGACCCGTGGGCGGCATTCCTAATTTCTGGCCGAGGCAAAAAAGGGTATCGTATCTGTATTTTATTGACCTATAGAGACCATATCATATCTCTAGCATATTGTATTCATATTCGAGCGGTCGAACATAAATATAAATTTGTTCTCCCAAATAGACTCGTGGGCGGCATTCCTAATTTCTGGCCGAGGCAAAAAAGGGTATCTCAAGTTTGAAGTGTTCGCGTCAACATTTGACTGATTGATTTGTTTTCTCAGGGTTGAATTCCACAGATCAATCACACTCGGTTTTGTTCTCAGGCGGTTTGTAAAATTTGCTTCTTCATTTATTCCCCGTAGCTGAACCATCTGTGAGGGGTTCTAAATTCATCACAATACACTTACAGAACAAACGACAGATGTTGCAACCTTCAACTTCACGTTGATGCTCCTAGTCGCCTTGGTGTGGGCCAACGGTGCGCCCTGAATCCTAGCTTACATGTGCAATTAGGCACTTGCACTCTTTCTATCTGAACATCAACATACATATTTATCTAACACTTCTTTCGACTCCAACAATGTCACGAATACTATATTTACCTATTCATGCACTATGGGGCGTATTTGGAGCTATTGTAGACTTGCAACTTCGGTACTTATTGCAATTTCCGCCGTCTCCGTCTTGATTCTTGCACCGTGAGACTCAAGAAAAGAAGCAAAAGGCAGGGCAAATTTAGCCGAGGAACACAAGTAGTGTAAAGCGTATTCACCGCCAATCGGAACCCACGGCCGGAACTGTGCAATCTTGAGCATCTTGAGGCCTCAATTTTGACGGTCTTACGAAGAACCACAAATTTCAAAGCAGTGTGCATCGAGAGGTTGAAGGGCTTCAGACATCTTTACGGTCATAAATCTGAATTCGGTTTAAAGTTAGGACATCTACTTTCCGTCTCCAAATTTTGAAATTATAGACATTGAAGCATCTTGGACTCATAGTTGTATCCAGTTAAAGTCCACTCAAGGTCATGGCCCTGAGCAGTATTGACAAACCGAAGGCTACGCTCCGCTCCATTCAATTGAACCGTGCGAAACATCGTGTGTTCACCTGTGGCGGATGCCTGTTTGATGATTGATGAAGAACGGAACACCCTAGCCCATAGACGCGCAATCCTTCCCATTACCATAAGCTGCATCTGTGGCAAGTGATATAATTTCAAGGTGCTCCTCTCAGAAAGTTGCAGATGGGTAAACAGAGACCCGTTCTTCTGTCCATGAGGATCTAAACAGAGCCACCGACGAGTAATATCTCTGTCCCATGATACAACCTTGTCTTTGACGAAGCGGTAGCCTAGAGGTTATATCATTCCTGTAAGTTCAGGAGGAAATTCATTATCTGCATGAACATGGCAGTGGATCAGTGTATGGAGAAGGATTACTTCGTTTGCAAATCACGACGGTTCAACACGTCTCAACCTCTCCCGGGCCGGTTTTACAATGTAAACTCGGATTCTTGGGGCGGCCGCGGCGGCGGGAACTGCCGACATGACGGTGACGGAGTTGGCGCCATGGCGATAGACAAGCGGCAGAAGGCCATGGCAGCGGTGCCTGAGGTCCCCCTAGCACAGCACTTGATGCGCTCTGCGTCAACTGCGCCCCCCGATGATGTCTGACTAAATCCGTGCTTCTGCTTCTTCCCGGTGATGTCCGAGTTAGAGTAATGCACCCTCTCCTCAATTCGGGGGGGAAGGGATGTGCGGAACGACGAGAAGAGACGGAAGGATGCAAGCGGAGCCGAGCGGAGTGGAGGAGGGACGGGTGGAGCGGGGAGGTAGAGGGGACGACGACGCCGCAGAGAGGTAGAGTGAGAGCGCAGCTCGTGCGACGCCGTCGTCCACATCAGGACGCGGTCGGACGGCGGGAGTACGCGGACGGAGATGGAGGTAAAGCAATGGGAGGTGAAGTTGGTGAAGACTCGGAGGATGTGACGCTAGGGTTAGGGTTAGTAACTCCGTGCACGACCCCGCCCAGTTGAACTATCGCAACCCCGACCTATCCAAAAACGCTACGTTCGACGACATGTCCGCAGCGGAGCTTCTGGCCTTACTGACTTTCCCGTGAGCGACGACACAATTCTAACTCAGAAACCCTTTGCCTCGGTCGTTTCAGCTCTGGTACAGAAAGCACTGTTTGATCCCGAAATTCAGGACGCCTGGAACGCAACTAAGTTGAGGCATTTGCACGGGACGGCTACTGCCGGGCTCGTGATATTTACTGCCTGGATTCAGACGAAAGAGCGAAGCCCACCACACTCGCAAATCAATTTCCGTACTATTGACGGGGCCAACCACTTTGTACGACCATTTCGTGCATTCTTGCCAGAGATGAAGCTCACCCTCATGTCAGGTTATGTGGGACAACCCAACAAGGACGTTGGATGAATTGTTGGCTTGCCGGCGTTTGAGTAAAAATCGCATAGAGACGACGGATGTGTTGCGATATGCAGAAGAAAAAGTGAGAACACTCCTTGAATTGTCCAAAGAAAGAGACATCTGAGAAAGTGACGCTGCTTGTTGCTGGTCCCAATTTAACCCTCTACCTCCGAGCTTTCGCTGCCATCGGACGAGTCGTCGTCGTCACTCCCTTCATCGCCCTCTTCGCCATCCTGGTCCCCTTCCTCCGAACCATTTGCATCTTCTGAGATGCTTGCTTCACCGTCAGAATTGTCTTCCTGAGAATTCCCGAAATGCACCACCACTTTCCCTACAGACGACCACGCTTGTCGATAGTAGATGCTCGGGATGTCGGCGTCTGTGATTTCAATACAGAGGGAAGGCAAATGGCAGCGAGACCGCGAGAGTAAGCTCTGTACGGCAAGGACGAGGTCCGGCCTAAAAGTGGGCTCTGAAAGGCACAAATAGTTGAGGGCAGGGAGGGTCAGCTTTGCCAAAAGCTGGGTTTGTGCCCTGGGGTCGTGCCCGGACCCGTCGACACGAATGAACGTTAAACGCTCCAGGTGAACGAGAGGTGGGACATCTGCCAAATTAGCCATAATTTCATCATCCGACGACGAAAGGATTTGGATGCCGAAGGAATCGACATTGATGGCCGCACGTAGGAGCTGCGCGACGTGTTGGGGAAACTGCACGTTAAGCAGGCAAATCCAGGTGATTTTCTCCCACGGAAGAGCGAATGCGTTGGGGTTGAGTCTAATGAAACCCACTTTCCGCAATTTTGGAGCACCTTGGAACATCGTCAACGGCAACGCAGCTTCAGCCGGTTCCGCAACGTCGTTCCAATCATAGCGGCCAATCGATAACTCCTCGAGCAAAGGCAATTCGTCTCCAATTACCGGGATGTCTCGGAAAGGAATGACCAGCTGGATTTTCCACCAACGCTTGTGATGAGGGAGAATTGCATCAACAAATTTGTGTGCAGAGGCCAGCTCTGGGCAGGAGTGGAAAATAGAAACAGTTAGGCAACAGTCTCGGGACCGAGCTAACCAAGTTTCTAGGAGACGGAGGGCACTGTCGTGGGTGTTGATGATTTTTATTTCGATCGTGCTCCAGAGTGACGGGGTAGATAAAGCGATTTCTCGCCATTTTCGACAGATATGGCCAAGAAACAAGGGCGAGCTGGGGTCCGAGGGCAACCTCTCGGACGAGTCGAGGGATTGGAAGAAGATTTCGGAAGTGATTTCGTTGGGCAAGGTCAAAACGGGGTAGATGTAAGCGTCAAGATGGGCCTTCAACGTTTTGCGTTCAAGTCGGAGGGGTCGAATGGAGGCCTGAAGAGTGGCTATCTGCGAATCCACTGCATTCATGCGGCTGCGAGTGGCCGCCGGAGTCAAAATTGGTGCTGATAAGGCGAACGGCGTTGGGGACATGTTGATCTTTGGGAGTTTTGGATTCAGGGTTACGACTCTGGCAAGAATGGGTGAGGTTTGCATACCTGCTGCTCAAGTCCTGAGGCCTGAGACTGAGAGCTGTTCAGTCTTGCGCTGGCCACCAATGATGGTTTCAGCTGCGGAGCCGGGGAACGAGTACGGGAAGACTGTTCGAATTGAGCGAAGCTCTGTACGCTTCGACACAAAACCTAGGAGCACCAGACTCGAGTCTGAGCACTGAACAGCTTCAAAGCAAGGAAGAGGTGAGGCGCATCACGTGTCTCATGAACGCGCGTCAATCAGCCAAATATATACAAATTAACACTCATCCCGAGTCACATCTAGTAGCTTTTGGGCGTCAACTTGTCGAGAAAAAAAAAGAGGTCTGCCTCGGCGGGAATCGAACCCGCACTCTCCACCCCTCGGACGTTCTATTTTCGGAGAATAGTGGTGTCGTATATCATTGGACCACGAGGCCAGTGGTGTTCTAAGGCGTAAGTTGGGGGGCTTCGGGATCCTTTCAAACCGACGCATCATATATATCATCTTCCCTTCAATTTTAGGTTTTACGACTGCTAGATAAACATTCCATAGTAGATGCCAAATAATTGCGCCAACATCACTTCCGGGTATCGCTCCCCTTGCGCCGCGTCTGCCTTTTTCACAACGTCTCGCACGGCCTGCACATCTTCTGTGGACAGGTAGATAGGTAACATTATACGGGACGACAGATTCAGGGCGGTCGCGGCCATGTTCTCGTGCAGTACGACGTGACATGATTCAATCACCGTTCCGACAACAAATCTGAGGTAAGCAAGTGATTGAGCCTACTTTGATCTTCTTGGTCCCGGGGATGGGGATAACGTCGTTGACCTGGGCGAGGAGCCACGCAAACGTAACCTGACCAGTCGTGGCCCCGTATTTTGCGCCGACTTCCTTCAGCCCGTCCAAGCTTCGCGAGTGACGCGTCTACCGATTTGCGCACATTCTCAGGCTGCCGTCGATTGACAGGTCTGGCAGGCCCCCGGTCACTACCTTTGAAGGCTGTCGGATTTTTTTTGAACTTTATCCCTGATTTACTCTATGAATTTTGGCCCAGCCGGGCTGTTTTGCTCTATATCCGACCAAGGGTTGCCAAAAATGACGTTTTTCTCTCTGCTAGGTTCAAATTTTCGCTCCTGGGCTGCCGCGGGCGCTTTACGGCCGCTCGCGCTCGTTCCGCATCGCTGAGAGTTTATTTGCGCTATGTACTACGCATACAGACGGAAAGAAACCATCGCCTGATGTATGTAGTGGTTCAAAAAAAAAAACTCACGCTCCGCGCGATTTACTCTATGCCAGACCTGCCGTACTCATTTCAATCATTTTTTACTCTATGAGGCGGTAGAAGATAGCACCTTTTGGGAGCATTGACCTACTCTATCGCCGACCACCGTCAACGGTAGGGACCGGGGGCCTGGCCTGGCATAAACCCAAATTTCGTGGCCAGGAAGATGTCCGCACGCTTTCCGGTGTGTTTGAACCGAGTCCTGGTATGCGTCTGCTGTGTCCCAGAAGGTGCATCCAGCGGCGTAAGTTGCATCAAGCACCTAGCAAAATCGTGGATATTCTGTAGGTGAACAGGGAAGTTGCCGAAGTACTGCGTTCTCCTAACTAGAAATGCAACACAATCAAAAATTGACTCTTGGTTTTTTTCTGCTGGCCCCGAATTTTCCTTGGTCGGCGTTGAATCTCATATATAGGTATTATCCAGTCCCGGGTCTATACTCCTCTTCTTACTAGAAAATCGGGCCCGAGCTGAGGTCGGTAAAATTACAATGTTGCACTTCGGCATTATCATCTTCCAAGCCAATGACAATAAGTTCCGGGAGTTCCAGCTCTCCAACGATGAATAATAGTCGCAACGGGGTTCATTAACAGTTACGTCTGAAGATCCTCATCTGAACACCAGACCTATTTCACAGTCAGATAACCGCAATTCTTTTGTCGCTAACTCACTTTGCAGGCCCATACGTATCGCTGAGTTACTCTTGTTGCGCAACCGAGGGACATACTTCTGCAATTATTGCGCTGGGGTTCTAGCTCAACGAAGAGGGAATCCCGAAATGTGTCGTGAATCCAAAGTAGGCCAAGTAGAACCAGAAATATAGCTGATGATTTTGCTACCAGACGGCCCAGAAGCAATGCCAAATTTGACCAGCCTGGTCAAGTTCTAGTGTGAGTGGGATTGGCGACAGGTATGTGCATGGGATATTTGCGCACGGTCAATATAAAGTAGTGTAGAGCTACAGCGCCGGGTTGGCATCGGAAGAGTGGGTTCCAAGAAGGGTGAGATAGTTAAAACGTCAGGCCATAAAGCGGGAGAACACCATTAGCAACACGCTCAACGCGCCCCACAAATTACACGGTACAAATTCATTGGATTTGCGAGTTCGGGAACTGAAGGTACAGCGCAGAGTAGACTACAAGAGAATTTACGGCAGGGCGGGCGTCTCGCAGAATAGCTGCGCAGCCATCGATTCGGGATATCGCTCCCCCTGTGCCGCGTCCGCCTTTGTGGCGACATCTCGCACGGCCTGCACATCTTCGGCAGAGAGATTGAGGGAGCCCGCGGCAATGTTCTCATTGAGGTACTGTGCCAAGTGTTCAGAATCCCCAGGATAAGTGTATAAATGGGAATCAACCGACTTTGATCTTCTTGGTCCCAGGGATGGGGATAACGTCATCGCCCTGCGCGAGGAGCCACGCAAGCGCCACTTGCCCAGCGGTCGCGCCGTTGTATTTCGCACCGATTTGCTTCAGCCCGTCGGCGAGCTTGAGGATGTTGGGGAAGTTCGAGGCGTTGTAGCTGAGGACGGTATCAGTAACGCTGTAGGGGTGTATTTATGCAGGACATACCGGGCGATGTATTTCCGGAAATCCGTATCCTCAAAGTCGTCGGTGGATTTCTACGGCGGAACATGAATACGATGGAGAGGAGATGTCAACCAAAGAGTGGGCGCACGTATTGGCCTGTGAGCAGCCCGCGTCCGAGAGGCGAGTACGCGATGATCTTCACGCCGAGTTCGCGCGCCGTGGCGAGCAGGTTGATCTTGGGGTCCTCGATATCAAGCGTGAAGGGCGAGTACTCAACCTGAACGGCAGCGATGGGGTGCACGGCGTGTGCGCGGCGGAGGGTCGACGCGGAGACTTCAGAAAGACCGAGGTGCTTGACCTTCCCTTCCCTGCAAATAATATGAGGACCAATCCCCGAGAAAAGCGGTGCAGGGGGAATACGTACTTGACCAACTCCGCCATAGCACTGACTGAGAGCTATCAAACGGGGTATTAAATCACCATCGCGATCGGGGGCGAAGAATACCTGCCTCGATAGGAACTTTGGCGTCCGCGCGCTGGAGATGCGTAAGGTTGTTAAACGGAAAGCAACGATGGGAAAAGACATACATGAAGGTAATACAGGTCGATGGTCTCAACACCGAGCTTCGCGAGCGATGCCTCTGCCGACTTGCGTGCATTCTCGGGGCTGCCGTCAATTGTCAAGTCCGCCATGAACCCGAATTTCGTGGCCAGGAAGATATCTGCGCGCTTTCCGGTGCGTTTGAACCTGCCTCGTACATGGTTAGTTATAACGTTATCCATCTGGACAAGTCCGCTGTGTACTACGCACCACTTCCCGATCAACTCCTCCGAGTCTTGGTACGCGTCCGCTGTGTCCCAGAAGGTGCATCCGGCGGCGTAAGCCGCGTCGAGAACCTGGTCCATGTAACATCAATCCACAAATGTGCTATAAACTTTAAAGTACAGAAAACGCGTACCTTGAAGCGCTCCTCGTCTGATTCTACCGATCCGTAGAACGCTGACAGACCCATCGCACCGAATCCGATGGCAGGGAAGGTCGAGTTTCCGATTTTGCGAGTGGGAGACATTGTGTTCGTTGTAGGAAGTATAATACTGTCGACAAATACCACTAGACCCTTTTATACCAGCTGGTGACGACATCTGATATCGATAAGCAATCGACGACCGAGGCTCGGCGGCCGCCTAGGAATCGCGAGATGAGGTGGCCTGCCGGCGCAGTAAGCTACTCAGTAAGCTATTCGGTTGGACGGTTAAGAAATCGCCCCCGTCCGTTCTGTGCGGGGATAATTCTAATGCGAAACCCGGTTTCTCAGAGAAACCCCTCCCTAATAGGAAGTGTTATTGAGAACCCGGGTTTCGCGAGACCCGCGACGGTTGCCAGTGGCGGCCGGGAATGGATGGCCACTGACCCCAGGTAGTTATACATCTACTCGTAGCCAGTTTAGTTCAGTTGGTTTCGTTATCGGCTATTCCATCATGTCAGGCGGGCAGGTAGTTCAATGCCCGCCATATAAACAGAAATTATGCTGATGCTGTGGTACACGGAGCGTATCGGCTAAGTAAAAGCTGAGCAACCTGACCGGGTATGCTCTGGCAAGGTCAAAAGCACTGCGTCCCTATTTTAACACCGCATTCACAAAAATATTAGCATGGCTGGCCACTCAGAAGGATCAAAGTGAAGTGTTCTTGGGCTGTATTTCAAGGCTTGTGAGCCATTTCATCCAATGATGGATCAACCGGGAGAGCAAGGCGCGTCCGGCACGCAGCAGTAACCAGTTGGTTGGCAAAATATGCAGGCAGTTGGTTAAAGCTGAAGATGGACACAGGAGCTAGTAGACTTTCCAGGGTAGAACAGCAGCATCCTGGCTTGATCCAGAATTCGGTACGACTGAAACCACTGACGCGATGAGGCAAGTACTTTCTATAGATTTGATCAAGATTTATTTGTTCGCTCTTAATTCTGAACCTTCGGCACAAATATTATTGTGGAACTCGTGAAGCAATGTGATCATTCTAAGTGTAACCAACTGAATCAAACTGGCTACGAATAGATGCATAACCACCTGGGCCAGCGGCCATCCGGCCACGGCGGCCACTGGCGACCGTTTTGGGGAGGTTTCTCGCGAAACCCGGGTTCTCAATAACACTTCCTATTAGGGAGGGGTTTCTCATTAGAATTATCTGTAAGCTTTGTTGCCGACTTGTTCCCGTTCTCGCCAACATTCGGTCAATGAAGGAACCTGTGCGATGTCCCAACTTCTGGGATTTTCGTCTCCAAAATGTACAAGGCAGCCCACTGGACGCACCAACTTGTGTCAAGCTTTGCTGCCGACTTGTTCCCGTTGGCCTCGCCAACATTCGGTCAACGATGGAACCGGTGTGACGTCCCAACCTCTGGCCAATGGACTTTGGCGTTTTCCAAGCATAGAAGCAAACCCACTGGATGCACGACCAGGAACGAGCTAGACATATGCATGGTACAGCGTTGCACTAGTGCATTCGGCGGGATGGCTCTGTCATCCCTCTGTTAAGCTGTCAAGAGACAGTCACCTCCGTCGAATAGTACTTTGCAGTCTTAGGAGAACGTGAGGCTGTGGAGTCATTCAATACTGGCCGAAGGTGACGCGGCCACCAATGGAGCTCCCGATACTATCAGCGGAACATGGGCTTTAGATTCGGACACATTTCGTTGCCCCGATGTTTATCGACCGAAGGTTTGGTAAACCGGTAAATGCATTTGTGGCTTTATTCTATTTTCAACATCCACTTCCCAAGATCCTCCTTGGCACGCAACGCACGGCTTCTCCCGCTGGATGACATACAATTATCCTCCTCGTCCTCGCCTTTCTAATTTACTCATCGTTGTTTCATTCACCAGTACAAGCACAGTGCACACAACCAAATCCTCTGTAACTTAAGCTAGAACCAGGAAGTGCAGTGCATCTAGTGGCAAGAAGTAGCTATCTGATTTGAATCTTGCTCACTTCCGCAAGGCTGGTGCGTTGATTTTGAAGCTCTGCCACTGCCGCCATCTTGCCCTTCTCAGAACCTGTGGAGCCGCTTCAGAAGAGTCGGTCGTGCCTGATGCCGCACCCAGTCGTAGATTTTATATTGACAGCGCTTAAATATCGAGATCTACCGCAAATCCCCTTCGCAGTAGCACCTAACCAGATTGGTCGCAAATCTTGCGCATTCGTTCTAGGCCCTCTGGTGGCAAGGTTCTCAGGTGCACTTTTGGCATACTCACAGCACATTTCACGGTTCTCTCTTCGTCGAACGCTAGACTCAGAACCCCAGAATAATATTTAAGGTGTGTCTCCCGGTGCCGCAAGAAGAAGGTATATCCGCCCTGGTAACTAAAGCTAGAACCCAGAGAAGGCATTCACGGATAAACATTTCATGAGGACATTCTTACTAGTATGCTTACGTTCATCAACATGCATTAGATGGTTCAAAAATTCATAAGCTCTGCAGCTGAGGATCATAAGAGTACAGAATTTACGGCAAAGTGGGCGTCTCGCAAAATAGCTGTGCTGCCATTGACTCGGGGTATCGTTCCCCCTGCGCCGCGTCGGCCTTTGCGGCAACCGTTCGCACGGCCTGCACATCTTCTGCAGACAACTTCAGGGAGCCCGCGGCAATGTTCTCTTGGAGGTACTGTGCGAAGTGGTCAGCATATCTAGAAAAAACAGTTCTTCAACCCACCTTAATCTTCTTCGTCCCAGGGATGGGAATAATATCGTCGCCCTGCGCGAGCAGCCACGCAAGGGAAACCTGCCCAGCCGTCGCTCCGTTATATTTCGCGCCGATTTGCTTCAGCCCGTCCGCGAGCTTGAGGATGTTGGGGAAGTTCGCGGCGCTGTATCTGGGAAGACCATGAGTACTGCGCAGAGGTATCTCCAATACGCCTGGCATACCGGGCAATGTGTTTACGGAAATCCGAGTCCTCGAAGTCATCTGGGGATTTCTGAATACAGGCTGACATTAAGAGGTCAAATGATACGTTGGAACGGCAGACGCACGTATTGGCCTGTGAGAAGCCCTCGACCGAGAGGCGCGTACGCGACAATCTTCACACCGAGCTCGCGCGCTGTGGCGAGCAGGTTGATCTTCGGGTCCTCAATGTCGAGCGTGAAGGGCGAATATTCAACCTCCACAGCAGCAATTGGGTGGACAGCGTGTGCGCGGCGTAGAGTCGATGCGGAGACTTCAGAAAGACCGAGGTGCTTGACTTTGCCTTCCCTGTAATTAATATTAGCGCCCGATGTAGTGGTATGGGGTAGTACGTGCTTGACTAGCTCTGCCATAGCGCCGACTGTGTGCTATCGATGATGATATTAAATTGCATAATGCTGAGGGAGGTAAAGCAAACATACCTCGATGGGAACTTTATAGTCCGCACGCTAGTGTCGCATACTGTTGGTGAAAGAAGGAAGCGAAGAAGAATGACATACGTGGAGATAGTAAAGGTCGATGCTCTCCACACCGAGCCTCGTGAGTGATGCCTCTGCAGCCTTCCGGACGTGCTCCGGACTCCCGTCGATCGAGAGGTCCGGCATAAACCCGAATTTCGTGCACAGGAATATATCCGCCCGTTTCCCAGTGCGTTGGAACCTACGCATACATCTTCAGCAACCCGCGTATACGTAAGTACTGCTGTATCACGCACCACTTCCCAATCAACTCTTCCGAGTCCAAGTAAGCGTCCGCTGTATCCCAAAAGGTGCATCCGGCGGCGTGGGCGGCGTCAAGAATCTGTGAGAATCACTCCAGAGATATGCTATGGACATCACACAATCACGTACCTTGAAGCGCTCCTCGTCGGATTCCACTGATCCGTAAAAAGCTGATATTCCCATTGCACCGAATCCAATGGCAGAGAAGGTTGAGTGTCCGATTTTACGAGTGGGTGACATTCTGTTTGCTATGGAAATTCCGAAGACGACAGGCCCTTTATATATTGCGGAGACTGGGTCTCGTGAACCGTGACGGCATCTGAGCCAGCACCTGAGAAGAAAGTATTTCTGACTAACGACCTGTGCCGATCCCAGCCGCCGAGGTGAGTCCGGATGGCCAGGTCAAAGTTAGCGCGAGGATCCTTGTTGATGACGAAGAGACTCAAGAGAATCTCGATTACACACAAAGTGTTGCGTGCCAGTGAGAAGTTGTAATGCCGTCTATGCCCAGAGAATCTTATCGTTCCGGAGACGGTCGAAAACGGCAATGGATTGGGAGTGGCGGCGATGACTTAACCGGAGTTAGAAGATTTGAAATTGCGTTTGAGTACCAGTTATGGCTCGTGCGATCATAGTCTCATCATACACTATTTTTTATGGACACGATCTAGAGGACGATCGGGGGAAAGGCAAGTCGTCATAAGAGTCAACGCTTTGGTGACGATTTCGGAGGACAGGGTCACGGCTCACGCGCTCACGAGTGGATGTAAGCCTCGAGATCTATTGTCAAAGCATGTCGAGTTTGAGCAGCATCAGGGGTTGAAGGGGTTTAGTCACCGTGTATGGTGTGCGCACATAAGCCATAGCGAACGGTGTTCTACTTATCCGGCGGGTTCCTGGCAAGTCTTTGTGTGAGCCCTTTGGAACGCGCACTGGAACATTTGGATTTGAAGCCCGTCTTGGTTGGCGAAGCTGGCAGTTAGTGGAAGGAGCTGGAAGCAGCGGTGGGCCGGTGACGAATACAGCAGGCCGGCACTGGCATCACGTGTCTCCCCAGCGCGTCTCCATGAGCCAAATACGCACAAATATACTCCTCATTCGACTCATCCTGACTCCCACTCACACCATCAGGGCATGAAAAAGGGCTGCCCCGGCGGGAATCGAACCCGCACTCTCCGGCTACGTTGCTGTCGATTTTTTGTAGAATGCACGGTATCGCACCATTGGACTACGAGGCTGCGGTGGTTAGCACCTGAATTTAGCTTTACACTGTGAGCCTCCTTTTCGTGTAAGAGACAATATACTTCAAGAACTCTTATACGTGAGGCTTGCAGGAATCTGATATGAAGCAGAGCGAAGGTCGGTATGACTGTTGCGAGCATCCATGCTGGCTTTTGTCAAGGTGCGGATGGGCACGATACCCGAGTGACCCGAGCCCCCGGAAACAAACCATCGATCCGCTAGAAAACATCCAGCTTACTACATAGAGGACGGAATTCCTTAGCGTGGCTTCCAGTGCTAAATAAAAATAAAGATATGGCTTGTGGCAATGAGTCCACAGTCTCTTCGTTAACGGGGGGTCGAGATTCACCCTCGATGCCGTCACACGAAGTTTATGGGTCACCGCTAGAGCAAGTTCACACAAAGATCCAATTATCTCGATTAGTAAAACAGTCTAAAAGGACACCTCCTGCTTCTCACATCCAACAAGAAATCATGGATCCACCAACCACCACCCCGAAACCGCCGTCCTGAGCCACACGGAGGTCTCTCATCACTGAGCCGTGGTAGAGACTCCCGAGTCCGACCCAACTACTGATATGGCACTCATCGGCCTAGAAGCTTTGAATAGTAAAGACACGCCTCACGTTGCCCTCATAAACTGATGAACTCTGAACACAGACCATCTGCCTATAGGGTCCGGGGACTGTCCGACCCAAACGACGCACGCGGATGAGAAAACGCGAACTCCAGGAATATTCCAGAGAGGCGGGGGATTGTCCGACCCAAATGACGCGCACGGCATGGGAAAGTTCATCTGCCAACTCCACAAATAATTTGTGCCCTGGCGAGTTATTTGGAAGTGTTGGTCGGTTGAGATTTTGTGATTGTTGAAGGAAGCATCACTTGTTACATTGTGTACAACATATGATTTGGATGAATGTGATTACATAAAGGGTGTACAAGGAATCAGAGACCGGATTGAATCAGTGTGCCTTTGACTGTGAGATTTCAGTGTAGAGCATGGCGCGTGGCAGACCAATAACCACTCGTTAAGTAACCGGTGAATGGCATGTTTGCCAGGGGATATTCGCCCAGATGAAACGGAAATAAGCCGCACAATGGGTGAAAATGCCGGGTGACAAACACTGGCGACGCTCCCCGCGCATGGCTCGTAGCGATATTGATAGGAATCCTCAAGAAGGATAAAGATGCGAGGGACCCAGCAAGCTATCGTCTGATTGCCTTGGAATGCTGTATGCTCAAGATGCTGACCCTAATAATCGACCGGCGGATTCGTGAAGGCGCAGAGGATATTGGGGCTATTCCAGTTACCCAAAATGGATTCCAAGACAATTTGCGGACCAACGACAATGTTTTTGTGCTATTATGCATGATTGACAAGGCCCACGATCAGGGGAAACCGCTGTACGTTGCATATCTGGACCTTAAGAACGCATTTCCGCACACAGATCGGCCGACACTTTGGGTCAAGCTGGCCAAACTAGGAATTTCTGGACCAATGATTGAGTGGTTGAAATGCCTGTATGACCGCGCATTTCCGCACACAGATCGGCCGACACTTTGGGTCAAGCTGGCCAAACTAGGAATTTCTGGACCAATGATTGAGTGGTTGAAATGCCTGTATGACCGCATCCGATACGTTGTACGCTTGGAGGGCAGATTTGCTCCAATGTTCGTGTCGTTACTGGGGATTCTGACTGGAGATCCCGGATCGCCTCACCTTTGGAACTTGTTCATGGCCGACTTCGTTCTCCAATGGCATCCCGATGATCTCCGGTTGAACGGGGTCGCACTCAACCAGGTTGCTCATGCAGACGATATTATGGCTGCTTCCACGAGTACTCATGGGTTCCAATCCCACCTGAATGGATCTCAGCACTGGGCGGACGATAACGGATGCGAAACATCAATTCCAAAATGTGAATACCAGATTTTTGGCCCTCAACAAAAGCCATCGGGCTATCCGACTTTCCATCTCCACGGGAAAGCGATTGCGCGAAAGGAAAAGGCTTGCTACCTGGGTATCTAGGTCCAGACTGGGACAAAGTTTATTTGGAAAGAGCAATATGTGGTCAAGGCAAAGAAAGCCCGTCGAGCTGCTAACATCATTCTTGGACTCAACCGGTTCGTTGGAAACTTGACGGCGTGGGACTCCCGGACTTTATACATGGCTCGAGTCGACCCCTACCTGACGGCCGGCTGCGAGATTTGTTTGGACATGGATGCCAAAAGCTTGAAGCTCCTCGAAAGTGTGCAATGCATGTTCTTGCGGCGGATGCTTGGACTTGGAGCGCGTTCCATGAAGGCCGTGCTTTTTTCGGAGACCGGTATATGGCCAATAAAGTACCGCCGTGTTTACCTTGCACTCAGCTATCTTTGCTATCTGCTGGGGCTTAAAACTGAGGACGAAAAACCGCAGCGACCTGCGTGGAACGGTCTACAGGAATCGCTGAACCTGGCGCGTGCAAGGAAGATCTCTTGGATCAATGACCTCCGTATCGTTCTCTCACGCCTGCACATTCCTGTCGAACTTGACATTTCCGAGCTTACGGTGCCTCTGGTCGAGGCCGTCATGAAAAATGTCAAGTCATCCATGGAGGCGTGGATTGACAGTGAACTTGAGAACTCAGCTCGGACCCAGGATATCTTACCTGGTCGCCTTGAGATGGATTCTGACAGCGGTAAACTGGTCAAGAAATCCCTGGATTTCCGACACTACTTGCGGCTCACCTCCGCCAACCACCGACGGGCGCTCACAAGGATGATTTTATCTGGCCACTCCCTTGCAGTTGAACGGCGGCGTTGGAAGGAGCGTGGCAAACCAATTGTCCCGCGGGCATGGCGTTTATGCCGCTTCTGCAAGACATGTGTTGAAGATGCTCCTCATGCAATGTTTATCTGCAACCATCCTGACCTGATGACGATCCGGGAGGTCTTTTTGCGGAAACTCTATGCGGATCTCCCAAGCCTCAAAGGAGCACCCACAACACCTTGGGGATTTTTCCGGGACCTCCTACCACGTCGCGAAATTACACCGCTCCTCGGGAAGCTGGCCTACGATGTCTCAAAAATATTCGATGAAACCCCCATGCTTTTTATCAATGCGCCTCCGGGCCCTGTTCCATGATTCTGGTTTATTGGTTGATTTCTGGGGGCTTTTCACATGTGTTCTGCAAACGACAACTCTTGTGTACTGGTGAACAAAACACCTTCTCCGAACACCTTTGTTTGATGGGTTTCCGAGCATTTGTGCTCAATAGGATTTGAGTTCTGGGGGCATCTTTTTTGTGTTCTGAGAGCTTTCTGAGCTTCAGGCATGCGCAGGTTGAGCGACCTCACAGTTGTTCCCTGTTGCACTGGGGGAGGCTATACGGTCTCCCCCCCTGCATCATTCCCTCGGGAACGGTGTCTACGACCCTCGGAGTTGTCTTTTCGGAGACGATCCGAGCATGTTGTTGCATGCATCCTGCAAAGGGACGACTTGCGACAGCATTTGTGTGTTGGTGGACTCTGGGGATTTATACCTGGGAAGAGAGAACTCTTCCCGCACACCAGCATATCCAACTGGTGGTCAGGTCCCACAGGGTTTTATCCAGAGGTCCTGCCCTTTGTGGCCAGCCAGCCCACAAATTGCCAGCGTCTTGCATTCTCAAACCCCTGGAACAGATGTGTGTTCTGTTGGCATTGTGTAACTACTTGTAAGGATAAACACCCATACAGTAGTCCATATTTGTCTTCAGTAAACTCGTCGTTCAGGTATTTGGACCACGCGAGTATAATATATCCCCCCCCCCAAACGGGTCAGTAACAGGTTGAAGTGGTCATTCCCCCCCCCCTCCCCTCCCCTTTCCCTCCGGTCCTTATTAACGTTGGATCACCACTCAAAGCCACCGGAGGTGGGACCTATTCTGTTAGGATGATGGTTTCAATCAACGTCACGCAGGAAATATAGCAGAAGACCTTGGGGTATTCGTCGATGAGCTATGACTTAGATACTACGGGATTGTAGAGTAATCAGTATGAATATTGCGAAATGAAAGTCAGGGCCGCGGAGAGTATGAGTAAAGAAACCATGTAGCCTTATCCGGACGCGCGAGGTTTTGCGAGCAAGGATTCGTAATTCCAAAATATCCGCGGTACAAAAATGCACTCCAGATATTTTTCCGACTACCCCAGTGAGCCATTGGAAACTTCAGGCTGGACACGGAGAGTTCCGCAGGTTCCTAACCAAGCAGAGAACGGCTCGAGGGTCTACATCTCTATCTCCTGGTTTCAACTCGGACTCCCAGTATAATGTACAAGACATTCCGTCCGTCTCGGGTCCGAGCCAAGGAGTGAGAGACCCTCCCCCCACTCTTTTTTTCCCCTCGCACCTGAGCTGCTAACTTTCTCATTACCGTCGGTTAAAAAGGACGACGAGGCTCGCGGGAGGAGATACGCTCCTTAGGGAGAATCAAATCCAGATAGACGAAAGCCGTCTCGTTAATTGAGAGAACGGATAATTTGATCGGCATCTTGACCAACTTTATCCGAACACTTCGGACCTGTATAATCTCCGAGACCTCTCAGCTATTTCCATCGGTCTTTTCATTGTGAGTTCAAGGGGTCGCCGGGTGCATCCCAAATCTGACCATACCATCGGGACACGAAAAGACAGGAACCCGCAGTCTGCGGCTACTTCGCTGTCACTTTATATTTCACAGTGTCGTACCATTGGACCACGGGGCTGAGGTGCCGTATGCCGGAATTGGGTTTTCAACTGCGAGCTTCTTTTTCGTGGCAGCGACTGGAGAAGATAACCGACGGTGAAGCAGATTAATAATGCGGATGTTGAAGCGGGATCCCGCTGAAACAGAACTTGAACAGAACTCACGGATACATTGCCAACAGTGAAAAATCAAAGGCACGCCATTTCGGTCGACAGTGGGACGATCCTCAAATAAGTTTCCGCATAAATCAAAACATTCAAGCGGGGGGCGAGGAGTCGTTCATT